AAATTTTCAAACTAGAGAAACTTTACAAGTTGTACGCAACATTTATGCAAATTTTACCAATAATCCAACCATACTGGGTCATTAAGTTTTTGGTGAAATTTTGGAAGAGAGTATTTTAAACTAGTCCTTAAAGACTTTTTCGTCAATAGCTTTCTTTAGAACTTATAAAATACTCTTTCATGTTCCAGCAATGTTCTAAGGTAAAACAAAATTATCTGAGATGGTTGAGAGCGGTAAAAATCTACCTCCTTTCGATGAAAAGACATCAAATTCCGTTTGCTAAACTACAATGGAAGTTAACTTAACAGTGTAATACGTGCATGTTATTGAGAGAAGAGAGTTGGGAATGTAGGATTTTTTAATTGACTTAATTGGTGGTCGAAGTTATTTGTGTTTTGCATCTTATATCCAACTTTCTGAGTAGGATGCGCTTAAAAATCTTCGTTAGATACCCTTTAATTTTACAAAAATGAGTGTCAGTCATGGGTGGAGGTTGAACGTGGCTGTTTACCTTACTTAATTTATTTGTAACTTTTATTCGTTCTGTATCAGCGAAGAGAATAAAAGTGATTTATGAAATAAGATTGCACTCATAAATGAATAAATCAATTAAAGATTACGGTCTTCTATTTCTACCCCGCACGTGTGCTAAAAGTTTTAAGTCGATCACCAGCTCCCAGCAGTGGACTAAGCAGCCCAAACCGACCTATTGTTATGAAGGAAAGCGTATCATGAAAATACATCAAACAAAGCTCTCAGCAGCTGTCAGTTCTATGTGGAAATTAGCGCAAATGACACAGATAGTTGTTTTCCGCTGTGCTCAATAAAAAGGAATAAGGTCTATTAGGGAATATCATTCCACATCTTAGGATAACAGAAACTTAAACCTTCATGTTCTATTGGACTTTTTGATCCAAATACTTTCAAAATGTGAAAGATGAAAAAATGCATCCCGCGTAAAAAAGATAAACACATCGCAAGATTTATCGCGTCTGAATGTTCGACGTATAATTATTTTATTACTAACTTTGGTAATAATAAACATGAAATCCTGTTCAATTATTCAGAAATTGGTCAGTTTCTGGAGTTACATTAATAACTGCGATCGACATTTTTCGTGGAAAAAGGTGCTCGAAGCCCTTAAAAAAACATTCAAACCGAAAAAAGGCAGTTTTAAATTTATGTGGCGTAATGATCTCCAATATTGTAGACGGGCTATCGAAACTGCTCTGTGATCCGCTACCATATCTGAAAACAAAGAAAACGATTTGATCACAACATATGCGAAGCGGGGAACGACAACCGTGCACTATCTGAAATTGATATGTGATAGACGTTGTACTACAATGTCATTCGTTTATTTTTTAAATGTTTGAGTTATTAATCTGGATAATAAAGAATATTAAATGACGGAAAGTGAATGAAAAATCGTGCACCGCCCAACCTATTATTTTCGTTGAGGACAGCGTGGATTCAAGACCTTTCGTCCTTCAGTTCGCGAAAAAGCTTTTGTCGAATTATTACTCTTTAAGTTTTAAAGAAAGAAATGTGCTGGTGGTAATTTTGTGTTGCTATTTATATTACTATTTATCATAATTCAGTCCATCCTCATCGTTGCCAGAGGCCCTCAATGCTGTTTGCCCTTTGCCTTCTTCTCAGCTCTTCCCAGCTGACTCCTCTCTCCCCCATCTCTTTTTTGAATCTCAAGGTTTAAAATTAACAGCAGATTTTATTACGACAATGTCCTTTACTCACGGCTTTTTTCTAACTGAACTACCCTTTTTTCAATTCACACGTGACAACTTACCCGCGAAAATTTGTCGCGACAATTTACTCGTTACACATGACCCACGAATATTGGCCACTTCTTTTCCTGTAAAACTTGAATGTAAAAATAAAAGCAAAAGAAATAATGGGATCATTACTTTCTCTTGATGAAAGCAATTACCCTGCTGTTACGCTATTTGTTGACCTTTGTTACCCTGATAGCAGCAGTATGCCGGACGGGTGTCATATATGAACTTTAATAGAGTATAGAAGTTTATAATCATACAGAGTCTCTGTGGCCAAGTAGTAGAGCATCGGAACACGGATCCGGAGGTCTGAGGTTCGATTCCTCGTGAGGGCTCAGACTTTTTCTTCGTCCCACGCCCGAGACAAGATGAAGAAACATCTTTCTTTATTCCTTTACCGAGCCCAAAATCTTACCATCTTTCTTTTTCTATTAACAAAACATGACGTTAACGACATTGCTGATCCTAGAAGTTTGCAGGACGCGTATCATGCATGAACTTCGGAGTGGGCCTTGCCCACCGCAGTCTCCGTGGCTCAGTTGTAGAGCATCGGACGGCGGAGTCCGAAGATTTGAGGTCCGATTTCTTCCTTTATTTCTTTAGCGGGCTCGAAATCTAACCATCTTTCTTGTCTTTTTTTTTTACCCTGTGAGTATTTTCCAAATAAGTCAAAAGGTTTATGCATAAGGTGTTTTATGGAGAAGAAACCCAACTTCCTTATATTAGAGGGGAGACGTTTCTAAAGAAATTTTGGTGCTGCGTGGATGGGAGAGTATCACAGGGTAATTTAGTTTTAGCAACTGAGTTAATAACGTAGATTGGAATCCGTAAAGAGTTTTAAAGCTGACGTTTAGAGCGTTCGCCCTTCGTCAGAGCGAGTAACTACGGACTAACGCTCGATTCGTCAGCTTTAGACTCTGTAAGGTGGCTAATTTAGTTTATCAACTCAGTTGACAATACTTAATTACCTTGTTGCCTCCCTTACTTTCTGCTGAGCATCATTTGGTTCTGGATATGAAAATCATTATGAAGTCCGTGGAAAACCTACGAGTACGACTGACAAAGTATTCTCGGAAATCAGTGTAAGTTTTGTTTTCCAGCGAGTGTTAAGGGCAGCAAATTGAACTTTACAATTCAAAAAGGGCGAATGCTTGTAGGACTAATGCCAGTTTGAGATATCTTACATAAGAAAATAGAGGCAGAATTTGAATTTGAACTCGCCAGTTTCATTCTCAAATGTTCCGTGAATCCGGAGGCCAACCATTGTAGGAAAGGGTGCAAAGCGAAAATAAAAATGAACTGGCATATATTCAAGTTTCTTTATTTCATCTCTATATACTCAGGGTGCATATCGTCGCACAAGTCATTCTCATGAATTCTCAATTCCAAGCAAAGCCTTAACCAGGACAAGCATTCTTTTCCTTCATTCTTGAATCGAAGAGAAGAACGTCACTAAAGTTAGAGTATTTTTTCCTGATGTCATAAGTACATGTATTTATAAATGATAATAGTAAACATATTTTTACACCGCCAAATCCACTAATTGTCCATGGTATTAACGTTAAGATCATAGAAAAGCTAAAAGAAAGGGGGGAAAGAGAAAAAAAATCATATATCTAAACAAATTAAAAAAAATTCTGAGTAATTAAACATATTTATCACATAAACTGCGGTGTTATACAGGGATTTCCGGCACTGAGAAAAGCCGTGACAACACGCGTGAAAAAATATCGTATTTTTTCACGTTTGTTGATATAGCCAATCAGCTGCTGACACATCACTTGCCTTTGGAGCCACTCAGTCTGGTTGATGAATGAACGTATTCGGTGGCTTTGGTGTTAGCATTTCTCTCGGCTTAGAATGAAAATCGACAGCTGAAAGATTTGCCACTGGCCGATTTCAGCTGTTTACCTGAAAGACTCCTTCTGTCGGTAAGGAAAAAGTCAATAAATGAGAATTTTGTAAATTGAAAATTACGTCCATTTTTGCTTTTGTAAACATGATTCAACGCATTTTTTCGTCTTAAGAGTCAGCGCCAACGCACTCTACGATTGTTATTCGAGGATTGTCGATTCATTTATTTTCAGTCTCGCTTTCGTGGTCGCCAGAAGGTGTTGAAAAGAGGACTGACCATAGTGTCTGTTTAGAGGTACGATAATTAAGTAAGTCACTGATGCAGCAAGGCAGTGCTCCATTGATAGCTTTGTAGACCAATAAAAGAATTTTATAAACTATACAGTGACGGACAGGAAGCCACTGAAGCTTTTTTTAGGATTGGGGTCATAATATCAACATCCTGGTACGTGTAATAATTGGAGCTGCTGTATTTTAAACGGATTGTAATATTGAAGGTAGATACTTAGGTAGACCATATAGTAGTGAGTTGTAGTTATCTAATATTGAAGTAATAAAGGTATGAACAACAATTTTGGCACTCTCTTCTTCAATTTACTTTGTAATTTGGGCGACTACTCAAACATACAAACCACTGCAACACACGTCTTTTCGTATCCATTATCGCCATAACCCCATTTGAACAAGTTCTCACTGTACCAGATTTGGAATTCTTGGTTCGTCTCCACCGTCAGCGGGGTAGAGAAATTATCAAAGAGCAGTTGTGGCGATTCGGTTGTGGCCCAAGGCAGGCTGTAAAACTTGCAGCCCCAATAATCTGAGAGGAAATCACTCTTTGGGAGAAGAAGATTACGGTTTTTGTCAGTTATCAACGTGGCCATTTGGTTGGGAATGAGACGGCTCCAAAGGCATCCCCATTTGGATTGATAGCTTGGGTTCGATGAATGACAGGTCACGTAACCGGATTTGTACGTTAATTTGAATGTAATGATGTTACCCGTCTTGGAAGTTCTAAAGAAACCATACGAATCACCTCTTGCCCCAAAGCAAACTGTAGATGGCGTCATCTGTATCCATCTTACTGTTGGGAAAAGAACCAGCACATAAATGATGAATTGATTTTGAACAAAAGAATTTGAGTTGGGTGAAAAGAATAAACGGCAGGACAGCCAGCCGCTTAGTCAGACAGATGGATAGGAAAGCAGGATGGACAAAAGGGGATTCAGACATCTGGAGGAGCAGACGGACGAGTGGCTGGCTTAATAAGACTTACAGTTGGATTCATCGAAAGATAACTTAAAGGGTTAGGTAGAGTTTTTCATAAAAGTATTTCACCGAATGAAAAATGCTTTTTTACCTACCGTTTCTTTCCTCGCAATTGGTGCCCTTGTATTCAGGTGGACAAAGGCATCTGTAACCTTTGTCTGTAAATCCTGTCTGACAGGTGCCATCATGTTGGCAAGGAGTCTGTCCACAAGTGTTCTGGTGTGAAAACGAGGTTTAAAAGCAGATATATGCTAATTGAAGTGGTAATAATACTTTGAAATGAAAATTGAAATGTCACATGAGATCAAATCAACCAAACAACCAGCCACGCAACCCGTCAACCATACAAACCAGTTGCAAAAAAACCTTGCGCAACCAGCCAAACAACATACCAGTGAAACAACTTACCGTCGAAACATTTACGAGCTAAACCACCCGAGATTGAGCCAACTTTATATACTAATATACCAAATGACAAGTAATGTTATTCGCTTGGCCATGATAGGATACCAACCAACCATCAAAACTCACCAAAACCAAGGATAAACGAAAAGCACAAATAGGATGAGAATGTACTCACCATTGTTCCTTTATATCTACAGTTTGTCCAGGACTTGAGATCCTGAGGATGTTCATTGTGTGTGGAATTATTCAGTTCGCATTTTGTGATTACTGGAGATCCGCTGGCCACTAATTCGTTATAGCTGACGCATTTGGGTTCCATGTAGCATAGAGCTGAGCAGAAGTCTTGCACAGGTGATTCCACGGTTCGTATTAAGTGGTTTATGAGCTGTTTGTCAGGGAAAGTAAGAGAAGATGTAAATTCCATCTTGCGACAGAAATGTGTGGGAAATTGAATCGGATTTGATTAGCACCATTTATGGTTTACATCTAGACAGGTAAAGAACCAGTTACGTTTTTTAGGGACTAAGCAAAGGTAATGGAGTGATGAAACTTACGAGTTGTATAAGTAACAAAACATAACAGTTTCGCCTCTCTCTCCTCCACGACCAGTTATAACCATTATAATGTCCTCAAATGATTTTGGTGCTCTAGCTATTTTATTTTAGCACTAATTAGCCTGTAGAGTTATAATCAGACAGGGCAATCGGACAGTCAACTGTATCGGACACTCAATCTGACACCTGTAATCAGACAGTTAAAGCAGCTTATCATATTAAGTCCACACCTCCAAATCACCCAGTCACAGAGTTGATTGCAATAACCGTAGCAAAAACCACTTACCCAACAAAACAGTGTCTCTACCGAAGATATTTTCTCAAGTAAATGTTCTTGTATTCATTTTCTTCTTAAATTGTAATGGTTATGATCAATCGGTAACAGGACTTTGTGTCATCCAATTCGATCTTCAATCATACTCATGAGTGAGCGAAATTAGACTCCACTCGGTCCTATTACAATTATAAATTCAATTTACTTTCAACACTATAGCAGTATGTATATAGTTTACGCTTAAGAAAATTGGAGCACAACACACTGAATCGTGTATTTCTTTAGAAATGAGAATTATTTGAAGTTAAAACCATTTCTAACGCGTCTAAGGAATTTTCGACCCCATATTTTACTTGATATTGAATACAATGTTTTTTAATTCGCTTTTGCTACTGTGCATCAATGAAGACACACATCTCTGTTTCTTTGAAAAATCAATTGGGAATTCTTAGCATACCGGTAATTTTATATAATCGGGTGATGGCCTAAATTTGAAAGAATCGAAGCAACATTCCAGCGTTGATCTTTATTTTAAGAAGCCAGTCTGAGTTAAACCCTCTGAATTTTTTTGTTTTGATTGAGAGGGCGTTTTGTTATCCTTGATTTAGTGATCTCACAAGTTAGTTCAATTCATGTGGATGACACGTTAAGTCCATGCCAGCTGTGAACTTTAAACTTTTGCTTAATTACTCGTAGAAAGAGAAACTCGCTCAGGGTGATTAGCGTAAAGAGAAGAACAAGAAGAGAAGACTGAAGAAGAGTCTTGTTGCCTCTCGATAGCGGGGAGTTTTGTCACCCATTAGTTTCTCCGGTCCTTGCATTGTAACAAAACTAACCAGGAATCCGTTCTGATTTTAATCATACAGCTGGAAGACATGCATTTTTTATGCGTGGGCTGCTATAGGCGGCTTAGAATTTGGGCTGTGTTAACAACGCTAAACAAAAAAAAAATGTGTTGTTATTATTTACCAAAAATCAACATGTCGGCCTTTGGCTTATCGTGCATGTGACATCAAAATTTTTCAACAATTATCCAAGAGTTTTGCTGAGTAAGTTTAGGCTAGATGGTCTCTATTCTGGTAACTATGTTACCTATATATCTATGGAAAAAAACTGAAAATAACGAATACGAAATCGAATGTTCGTCTAACTTAGTTGAACTGTAATGATTTTATGTCAGCTCGGAGGAAATGAAAGTATAACTTCAGTTATCAATGAAGACAACAGGGCGACCAAGAAGTAAAATTTTGAGAAAGAAGCCATGGTAAAGACTAAGTTGAGTCGCTATGTAGGATCATCGCTGGTGACTTCTGGAAAGATTTTGATGTTTGTTTATTTCTTTTGTATGTAGAGAGTTCTAATCATACAATAAGGAGATGTGGATTTTCTTAGTGACTTTGTGCCTTGCAGGAACTTCGATTTGCTAAGAATTTAGCTTAGGCGGCACTCGATTTGATTAAGGTAAATAAAACTCATTGAAAATGCGTTAATTAAAATAAGTTCGATCGATTGAACAGTATGCGAAATATCCTGCTAATGAGATAACTGTAAACAGTGTTATAATTGCGCTTCTAGGTTTCTAAAATTTTTTGACCTTATGATGATCGACTAAAGGAACAGGTGTAATTTTTATTCCCAGAAGATCAAAATATTAATTTTTTTACCCTTCTTTTGCCGTCACTGAAGCCAGTGGACATTACATAAAGGATGTGGCTTGAAGTAATTAATGAGGTGTCTGACAAAAGGAACAGGTTCAAAGCTTGTTCTCCGCACGTCAAGTTTAAATCAAGAAAAAGTTCCGTGCTTTTGTTGATGCTCTGTTACTAGGAAGAGAAAGTCGTTTTATTTGTGGACATAGAATTCTTATTTATATACTTTATTTTCAAATTCTGATAACTTTATCAACCTTCATTAGTTCGATATTATTAACTTCCTTTGCTTCCCTCTCAATCCAAATTAAGCCGGTGAAATACCTTGCAGATAAAAAGAAATTGGGAAACAACGTCGGCTACTTCACCTTTTTTTTTTAATTTCTCTAAGCTTACGAGAAAGTTATCTTTCACAAACGAAGATCTGGTCTTTCATACGAATTATTATTTCGGCATCTATTTTAGTAAGGGAATCAATATCAGTCTTTATTCATACAAGTGTGTTACTTGAAGTAAATAAATGTGTTCTCTTTGTTAGCTGTTAAGCCTCCTTGACTTTGTTCAAAGCTTTCTACATGTGAATGAAACGTTTGGCTCACTTTTGATAGCTTGGAATGCAGTTCCTGCAGCACAGCAGCTTAACTTTGTTGTAACCGCTGGCTAAAGAAGAGAAGGTTAATGGCTCCCTTAAAATTTCTAGTGTAAACGAGCCCTAGGTAACTTGAATTATGTAAACATTTAAACTCAGTCAAACACGAAATTTTTGATTTGTTCAAACCTTTCACTCTCATTGCGCGCCTCTCAAAATTCTAAAGTTCGAAACTTATTTTTATCATTAGTTATTTTGGGTTATAAATGCACGTAGATCTTCCTTGGCTGAAAGATTATGGGGGATGAAGCCAGTGGAAGCGACAGTGATATAAGTCATATATTTACGTGCATTTCTTCTCGCAAAGATGTGTAAACGGCTACATAGACTCGTTCATAGACGTACCTTAAAAAAATAAAACAAAACAAAGGGAAACAAGCAAAAGTAGAAGACGTGGGTTTCAAATTCATAACGGTCAGTGTTGGAAATTTACATTTTCAAACAAACAAATATTCTGCGGTTTTAGAAGCTATGAGAACTTGCAAGCAGATAACCAAGAGCGCAAGCACCCAAGGTAATATGATTTTGGGTCGTCCCGAGAGACGAGATGATAATAGATAAGGCAACAAGACAGTAACGCTGGTAAATTATTCAATTATTTGTGATACTTTTCTTTTTATATTGTAAGAGGGTCGTATGTGTCAAAGCGCTATTTAAATTAGGCAACGTGCCATTTTCAATGGGCTCCTATGTTCTGAGTCTAATTCGTCCTTAACTTGCCCTGTACGCTCGAACTGCTAATTTGACCTTGGAAAAAGATTTGACTTTCAAAGACGATCTTGGTATCATGTTAATATGGAAAGGACTGAGGGGAGGATACTACTACAACATAATGACCCGCTCCCAATTGGCTTCTAGGCTCAGTTGGTAGAGCGCTGCACCGGTATCGCAGAGGTCATGAGTTAAACTCCTGTACGGGCCTTAATTTTTTTCAGATCTTATTTTAACTACCACTTCAGTAGTGTTTATAACTGCGAAGATCTCTTATATTCGTTTCTTCACCCTAGTGCACATACATGATTTTCATATATTTACAGTCAGTACTGCAAAACATTCCGGAATTCGAAGCGTACAACACAACTATTGTGGCAGAAATACATTATAATTACATAGCCTAATAGAATGTTCTAGTTTTCCATACTATGTCATCAGAAAGTTTGAGTATCAATGTAACAGTGAATAACGATTATGCAATTCTAGGAATTATTTACAGTCTCTATCAACAACACACCTAAGCTGCTTTAGTTTCTAACGACCTGAGTAAATATCAAGAGTGCTCAAAACTTACATAGTGAAGTACTTCGATCGCAACAGATAGAGATATTATGGCTATTTGGAAGCTTACTAATGTCCATAGTTGTTGACATTAGTTGGGGGACAGGGGGGGAAGAGTCTGTTCTAATACTCGGATAAAAAACTATTGGTCAGTCGACTCTGATGATGATTTCCGTTGAGGTTATAGAAACGTCAGTCACTATTACTTGCTACTTGCTGTCACAACTTCTCAGGAGTACTCTTACTTGGAAGACCAAACTAAGCGGTCCAAAGGTAATCTTGTGTTCAAACTACTCACTGTTTAACACTAATCGTAAAAAGTGGATCATACGAAATTCTTTAAGTCCCTGTTATCATTGATGTATATGTGCGTGCCAATAAATCGATTTGTGAATCCTTTCACCGTGCAGAATGACTTGCTCATAACATTTAGTCTGTGCCACAGTAGCGCAGATTACAAACAGGTACCTTTAGTAGTTTGTAAATAAAGTAGGATCCGCAGTCTTTCACTTTTATGCCAACTGATCTCTTGCAACAATCTCCACCTCTGGTAAAGCAGACCTCTGAAGTAACCTCACCATCTGCCAGTGTGGGGTGACCACCTTTTAGCCAGCCTGAGAAGATCGCACCACATCTATTACCCGGTACGCACTGGGTTGGCATTTTTGTTCCTGCATCTCCCACGAAACGATACCATTTCCCGAATATTATGGATGAGGAATCGTCGTCACATTTTTCTCCACCGTTGGGTGTGTTGTAGGTGCTCTTTCTGTCAGCATCGCTCAGGTTTCTGTAATTATAGCACGGATCGGCTAAAAAGTTAAATTTCTGTTAATGCGATATTTTGTATATTTTTCTCTATAAGAAAGCTGAAGGAAAAAAATTATTACATATTACATGTTTAAGAAGGATTTCCCGCCCAGTGAAAAGCCGTAACAACACGCCTCAATATTACGATAACTTTTTACATTTGTTTAATATCGTCAATCAGCTGTGTAAGGTTAATAAATGAATGGCAAAGCGTCGACCGTTCTCAATCCAGGGTTGCTTGTCGAGATTTTCTAGGATTATGGCTGCTAAAAGCACAAAAAATTTGTATTTCTTACGGACAATGGCTTTTAAAATTTCCTAGAAGCGGAAGTAAAACTAAATACGAGAAGAAAAACTGAAAGTTACGTATTTGACCTTGGCAATGGTATGTTTTCGCAGCTGAGAACCAAAATCGACAACTGAAAGATTTGCCACAGACTGTTTTTGGCCATATACGTGGAAATATTTATTCTATCGGTAAAGAAAAAGTCAATAACTGCACATTTTGAGAATTTTGCTCATTTCTTCGTCTTGAGCCTTATCGCGCTTTACGACTTTCTTCTTTTAGCGGACCGTGAAACCTATAATTTCATTCTTTAGACCGTTCCTCTCAGTAAAGGCCTATTTTGATTATACAATAAACAAAATAATACATGGTTGATAGCAGTTATGGAACTTCTCTTCTCGTGTTCAACTCGATACCAAGAAATTATAGCAGTTTATATTCTTGTGAATGAAAGTGATCCTCGCAGTAATGTGCACTACTTAGGCAGTAATGAAAATAAGGCCTAAAAAAAATTCAGGCCTGTACGGGATTTGAACCCATGACCTCTGCGATACCGGTGCAGCGCTCTACCAACGGAGCTAACAAGCCAACTGGGAACTGGTCATGATGTTGGTTCTAAATAAACCCGTGAAGTGATGAAATAAACGGTTAAGAATATATGAAAGTCCGCAGTTCAAATACATGACTTTCATATATTCTTAACCGTTTAGTTTATATTCTCTTGCTCGACACCTTACTCGTTCGCTGCTCTCACTCATAAGACAGCGAGTTGAACACTCGACGAGAAATTCCGTATCAACACGCTCCCATGTATTATTCTCTACCTATTGAATGAGGACAAATGGCCGAGTTTGTCATACAGCCTCGATGCAAAATCCTTGAATAGTTACCACATACAACAAGTTTTAATGCGTGTCTGTGGCTCGATCTCTCAGGGAATGGGTTTTCATACAACTCTACTGACCACAGAAAAGGTTGCTGAAGACTGTAAAGTCAAAAAACTTGTTGATAAGTGCTCCCGCAAAAATTGCCTAAAGCTAAAATTATTTGACTGTGAAAAAGTTCTCTGTGTCGTTGTGGAATTGTAATGTAGTAAATAGTTTTTCTTCGAACTGAGCAGATACGCCTGGACAACTTCGTTGGGAGCCAATTACTGCTCAAGCAATAGAGGACCTTTTTTCCGTGTTTACATACTCTCATCTGAACACGAGAGGAGGTTGGAAGTATTTGAGAAAATTATGCAAACCCGACACACAGTCGAGGGTTCGCATAACTTTCAAGAAATTTCCCAACCCTCCGAGTGTTTAATTTATCTACGTTTTCCTTATTCTCTTTGCCTGCTTCCTAATTTTAGGTATTTATTCTTCCATTAATTACTATTGAAAAAAAAAAAGACCTGAAATGCACAAAGTCTTGAAAGTAGGGAACAATTTTATATACAATTTGTGAAAAATCAAGTAATTTTAATCGGCATTGACCTGAAACGTTCCTCGAGTCGTTGCACTCAAGGTCATAATTTCATCATCAAGATGATTTTTAATTTCTCCAATAAAAAGGGGCTAAATTTTACACTAAAATTATGCTATGAAAAAGAGAGGTCACCGTGCTCGTTAAAGAGCTAAAGAGCATCGTACCTCTTTGCAGGGTCCATTTATTGAAAAGCAATACCGTGCTCTCGGAATTCCCACGCGCTTATTCGCCTGATTACGTGATTTTTTTACGCAGCACAGGATGCCCAGTGCAATACTAAGGAATCTCCTTTAGACTGATCGCAAGATTCAGTTTGTTACCGAAAAATGTACCGTGAAATGACGCGCGTGAAAAACTGCTAGTAGAGGCATAAATGGGGTAAGTTTGGCCCGTCATTTCTCTCAAACAAGCACGGTGACCTGTCTTTCTTATTGTATCTTCCGAAAAAGACATCGTTCGGGAACATTTAAGGAAAGATTGAAAAAATTGTCAGATAATTTTTTTCTTCTTAGGAATCACCTTAATACGCCAAAATGGGAAAATCTTAACCGCGGTCAACATCGATTTTAGCCGATCAGATTATGCTGGTTGATTGCTTTTAATCCTTTCGAGACACAGCCTGATAATAATTCTATTAACAAGAACATTTATGCGTCATCAACAATAAATAATGGGGCCATTGTTTTCTCTCCTGTAAGACAAAAACCATGCACATCAAGTCTTTAAAAAAAATAAAATATATCTTTCTTTTTCCTTAATGGTTTGTCGAAGGACGTTCAAGCAAACTAAAGGCACTAAAAACTAACGTGATTTGTTACATGGCCAAACAAGAATAGCCATTCACTCAACATTATTGACAGCAAGTTCAGCCAGTACTATCTTTACAAATTTTTTAAGGCATGGATTAAAAGAGACTAACCTTTACAAGTCAAACCATCCCAAATGTATTTAGGATTACAGGCGCAACTGTAGGAGCCCTGGTTATTACTGCAGGAGGCGTTCTCATCACAGATGTTCATTTGTGAACACTCGTCGATGTCTGATGGGGATCAAACGCACCACGTTACAGCCCACAATTGGGTGTTAAGATGAAAAATGTTTTGGTTGATCAATATACAATGAACACCTGTACAAAATACTGCTAAACCTAATCTCAAAAGATTTTTGGACAAAGTGAAATAATCCACCATTTCTAATAAGGGTGAATTATGGAGTAGAACTACATTTTAGGATAAATGTTTGACTACTTCTGGCATCATAATTTGAGTTAAAAGGACGTTTTAGATTACTCTCCGCTTTGAATGACTGGGATTGAAGGAAACTCATTAAAATTACCTGAGCAAGTCTGTCCATCTCCGGCGTATCCAGTGTGGCATGTACATATATGTGATCCAATGGTGTTGGTACAGTTAGCATTCACATGACAAGAAAGATTTTTTGCACATTCGTCAACATCTGAAAAATGAAAGGCTTTCAATCACGATTCTTGGAGTATGATACATGGATAAACCCCCTTATTTTGATCATTAAGTGCGAGAGTTGTCTCCAGAGAGTTGTTGGTCACTATGTTTTATTAAAGAGAAAGCTGGTCAACGAAAATGTTCAGCATTTTGTCATTAGCTTTAAATAGCTGGGACTGTATGCATAGAAATGGGAGCGATGAAGATTGTCTCTCTTCGATCAAAAAGGACTTTTTGAGCATTGAAGGAAACTTATTAAAATCACCTGAGCAAGTCTGTCCATCTCCAGTGTATCCAGTGTGGCATGTACATACATGTGATCCAATGGTGTTGGTATAGTTGGCATTCACATGGCAAGAAAGATTTCTTGCGCATTCGTCGATGTCTGAGAAATGACAGGCTTTCAATCACGATTCTTGGAGTATGATACATGGATAAACCCCCTTATTTTGATCATTAAGTGCGAGAGTTGTCTCCAGAGAGTTGTTGGTCACTATGTTTTATTAAAGAGAAAGCTGGTCAACGAAAATGTTCAGCATTTTGTCATTAGCTTTAAATAGCTGGGACTGTATGCATAGAAATAGGAGCGATGAAGATTGTCTCTCTTCGATCAAAAAGGACTTTTCTGAGCATTGAAGGAAACTTATTAAAATCACCTGAGCAAGTCTGTCCATCTCCAGTGTATCCAGTGTGGCATGTACATACATGTGATCCAATGGTGTTGGTACAGTTGGCATTCACATGGCAAGAAAGATTTCTTGCGCATTCGTCGATGTCTGAGAAATGACAGGCTTTCAATCACGATTCTTGAGTATAAAAACAAACAAACTCACGCAAACTAACATTTCTCAAAGTCATAACGAGGCAATTACCTGTGCAGTTCCGTCCATCTCCGTTAAATCCAAATAAACAGGTGCACACAAAGGATCCATTTGTGTTTCGACAAGTAGCGTTCAGGTGGCAATCGTGAGTGTTTTTTTGGCATTCATCAACATCTGAAAAATGGGAAAGAAAGGAAAAATTCTACAACGGTAGTGATTACACGAGTGAGATATACATTGTCTTTTAAACTCTTATGAGATGAAAAAGCATTTCGTTAGTTATCATTGTGACATATTAATTTTTCATTTAGATTAAACCAAAACTTCCACTGCAACGGAATCTCTCTCTAGACACCATTCCAAACTGTAGCTGGATATCAGTCGTCAAAGATCAGCCTTAGTAGTCTTCCGTTAAGATACGCACTCGACGGCCAAACGTGATATATAAATATGGCGGTTTAAATACTCCAGGATACATTTTGTTCTTTACGGTCTATTCTGTAATTAACCTTTTTCGCAATGTTCTCCTTCGAATCCAGGAGGGCACGAGCATCGATATCCCTTGATTGTGAAACCGGACTGACAAGTTGCATTATTTTGACAAGGTGGGTTTTCACCGCAGGCGTTCTGAAAAGAAAAAAGAAAAAAGGAAAAATTAAAGAAGATCAATGTATTGAATGATTGATACATGAATGAACGAACTTAAGTTTTGTTAAACGTCGTTTGTTTTCCATGATTCATCGCCGAGTTGCTGAATTTGAGTTATACTTTATATTTTACCTTTGAGCCTCGATAATAAAAATCAGCATCAGTTATCAGGTCAGTATCATGGTCAAGATGAGTGGCGTTATTCAGTTCACAAACATGAGCCATTACACTTGTATCTGGCTCTTTTTTGAAGTTAGCACTGACGCAGTTGTCGTTCATGTAGCAGAAAAGCTCACATTGATCCAAGTCTTTGACGTATTTGGTTTCGATTTCATGGTTTTCCAAACGTTTTTCAGCAAAGAAGAAGTAATCTGGAAACAGCATTGTGCGATCTCGCTCTTAAATAAAGCAATCAAAATATAATTAGAAAATAATTTTTTCTTATCATACAGAAATAAACTCACGATTTCAGTTATTAAGCGTGCAAAATAACACGCTTGATGAACAAAGAACTGTGATCTCAATTAAACCATTACTACAGAAAATGGAGAAAAATTGATAATACCTTCATTTGCAGACTTTTGTCTTTCTAAGAACATAAGTATCTAGGACAATTTTCCATGTCTCAAATCCGCGATCAGATGGCACAAAACATCACACAAAACATCACATAAAATGCTTGCGGAAAAGACAAATTTGAGTAAAGTTTTTAGGGCACTAGATAGTTACACCCAGCCCCCTTCCCCACTGAAAAAAACTTTCAAAACAAAAGTGAAACGCAAACAAAAATTGGTAGCAGCGACCATCACTTGTCTTTTGTGAAGAAGCAAGTCTTTTAGAGAGAAGGTTCAATCTCTCTATTTTCCGGAGCGATATTATTTTAGGGGAGATAGGGCAAAATCCATAAAGAAAAGCGATCCGTCAATCTTTTACTGTTGCTGTAATCTATCATAATTATGAATATTTTGTGTAATAGAGCACAAGATAATTAACCTCAGCTCTCTCTCCGTCCAAAGTTTAAAACAAAAGTAAAACGAAAACAAAAATTAGCAGCAGCGATCACCACTTGTGAAGTAAGGATGTTTATAAAGCATTTCGTGTCTTCTTGTTTCCCCTGAACGATATTATTTAGCGGAGATAGAACAAAAGCCGTTAATAAAAGCTATCCGCAAAATTTTCCTTCTCTCAAAAGTTCTTTCTCTAATTCATGATCGATAAGTCATGAAAAAAATTCATTTTTTTTATAAACCTTAAACCTCGAGTTTAAACGATCGCCTTTGGTTATTTTGACCGACTATCATGGAAAGAAGAAAATTATGCTAATTTCCATTAAGACAGGCCATCGTTATCAGGCATCACACAGGAGATTCATATACGGGTTCAAGACGTTTCTATCGATATATACTTTGGGAAATTCGAATTTTTCTCGCAAAATGGATAATTCAAATGAAAAAAGTCAAACACTATATTTCTCAAACAAAAATATCGAAAGTACCTACAATTTAACGGTAGTCATGCCACCTGTTTTTGAGGTGAGTACCTTTAAACTAATCCTTAAATGTATTTTTGCTAATAACTTTCTCTGACACTTGCACAAAACCCGATTTTTATTTCATGGACGAATAGCCAACAAAACAATGTAGCTATTCTTTACCATATGTCAGCACTGTTCTGTACAAAGGAAGTACATTCATTGTACAATGAAGTAATTTGTATTTGCAAAGTTTTTGTCGTTTTTGCCGTTTTGCATCTAATCTTCCTGAATAAGAAACGATAAAACATTTTTGTTTAATTTTAATTTTTCAAAAACGAGTTCCAATCATGGGTGGATGTTGAATGTCGGTCTTTGCTAATTGGTGTAACTTTCAGTCTTTTTGTATCTCATAAGTAAATCAAAGGATAAAAAATGATTCTCCGTCTGCGACTCACCTTTTCCAAAAGTGAAGCTAGTCAATAATGCATTCCAGGCTATGAACATGAAAAATGAAATAAATTCCATGCCTTCTTCAAGGTAACGGTTTTCTGTTTCTACCCCGCGCGTATGACACAAGTTTTAAGTTGACCACCAGCTCCCGGCAGTGGATTAAGCTTCCCAAATCGACCTGTCGTTATGAACGAAACCGTATTATGAAAATAAATTAAAAAAAAAAGGCCTGTAGCTGTCGGTTCTATGTGGACATTAATGCCAATGACGCAATTGGGTGTTATCCGCTTCGTTCGATGGAGAGAATTAGATCTCTTAGGAATATCTTTAAACGTTAACATACTTATTAGACGGTGAAATTAGTCCCCAGAACAACAACTTTGTAAAAAGTTTGATCAATTTCTTGAAGGTTTAATTGACGGCGAAAAACCCCAGGAAAAGCAGATACTGAGACGTTAAGTTCTTTTAGACTTTTTGATAAAAAGAACTTTCAAAATTTAAAAGATCATGCATATTTTTCAGCATATTTGTCCAGCACATTTTTCATTCATTCCCACTAAAAGAAAAATACCCTGCCAAATTTATTGTATTTTTAATATTTGACGTATAGCAACTTTGGTAATAATAGACATTTAATTAACAGAAAAGTCATGTTACCGTTTCAAGCCTGCCAGTCAGTTTGTCAGTTTTTGGAGTAAAAATACGCAGACATGTTATTCTGTTCAAACTTCGCTCCTTAAATCAACTGAAAGAGTTGATAATCAACCCTAATACAAAGCTTTTTAGCGTGCGGATATCTCCCTCCATTAGATGTTCTTAAACTGCCCATAGAAGAACAAATGTACAAGGATTAAAAATCTCCATTCAGAAATTTTGGTTCTAGATGTGAAGTGATGACGACTCGACCTCGACAAGAACTTCAGAAGAGATGATATATTCTTACCAAGCGAGAAGAAAAATTTGCACATGTTTGTGGTTTTGAAAGTTAGTTCTCTAATTAAGAAAGGACTTTCATCAAACTGTTGCGCGATTTTACTTTGAAAACTTGCTCTGGCCTTGAGGAAGTCTTTGAGAAAATACTGACGATTCGTGTTGGAATTTACAGTGAATATTTACACAGCTCCATCTTGCGCGAAAGCCACAATGACCATAATTCACGGACGTCAAACACACGCGATACAAACGATTTGCTCGAACCTCAAAGGCTTAAGAGCTACAATACAAATTCAAGTTGACAATGAGGACAAAAATTGGCAACATCGAGCATCACTTGTCTTTTGTGAAGAAACAAGGTTTGTAGAGAGCATTTTCGTGTGTTTTGTTTCTCCTGAGCGATATTGTTTTAAGGGAGATAGAACAAAAGCCATCAATAAAAGCTATACGCAAATTTTTCTCAAGTTCCTTTTCTATTTCATGATCGATAAGTCATGAAAAAAGAATTAATTTTTCTTAAAAAACCTTTTTTTATCTTTCTTCATTATACAGGTCCTTGAAAATTCAGATTTCTCCTACTTGAGTTTACACGATCGCCTTTGGTTATTTAGAACGATTATCATAGAAAGAGGAAATTTGTGCTAATTTCCATTAAGACAAGACATCGTTGTCTTGCATCACGCAGCAGATTCATCAATGGGTTCAAGATGTTTCATCAGTAAATTCAGTATACATTGGAAAATGCGACTTTTTCCAGGAAATAATATACTTTAATTAAAAATGTCAAACACTATATTTCCCAAACCAGAAATATCGAAATAATCGGCAATTTAAGGTCGACAGATGCCACCTGCTTTTGAGGTGAGTACCTTTAAACTAATTATTCAACATGTCTGTGCTAAGAACTTTCTCTTAGACTTGCATAATACGCGATTTCAACTTTTAATAAATAAGCTGTGTTTATGGACGAATATACAATAAAAAAATTTAACTATTCTTTACCATATGTCAGCACTGTTCTCTTGCAAAAATAATTTTTCACGTATGATAGAGAGCGGTTAGAATGTGTTTCCGTACGATGCAGAAAGATCAAATTCCCGCCTAATAAAACACGGGGAAATTGAACATAACATAGTGTCATGCTTAACTGTTATTGAGAGAGAAGAGATGGGAATGTAACTATTTTAAATGAAGTAATTCGTATTTGCCGAAGTTTTCAGTCGTTTTATCTGAATAAGAAACACTAAAAAAAACTTTCGTTAATTACCCTTTAATTTTTCAGAAATGAGTTTCAGTCATGGGTGGATGTTGAATGTCGGATTTTGACGTTGCCTTTGCTAGTTGTTGTAACTTTAACCCCTTTTTGTATCAGCAAAAGAGAATAGAAGAGATCTATAAATAAGGTTGTACTCATATGTGAAACGAAGGATAAAAAATGATTCGCCGTCTGCGACTCACCTTTTCCAAAAGTTAAGTTGGTCAATAATGCAGTCCAGGTTTAGAACATGAAAAATGAACAAATTCTATGCCTTCAACCCTGCACGTATGGCACAAGTTTTAAGTTGATCGTCAGCTCCCAGCAGTGGATTAAGCTTCCCAAATCGACCTGTCGTTATGAACGAAAACGTATTATGAGAATAAATTTTAAAATTTGCTTGCAGCTGTCAGTTCTATGTAGAAATTAATGCAAATGACGCAAATGGATGTTATCCACTTCGCTCGATGGAGAGGAATTGGGTCTCATAGGACCATCTTTACATGTTAACATACTTGTTAGACACCGAAATCAGTCCTCAGACCAACAGTGTAAAAATTTGGATTAATTTCTTTAGAAGGTCTAATTGACGGCGATAAAACTCCCGATGATTGTTTCAACCCTTTATTTATCTACAAAGTCCAGTAACCAAAAGGGAAAGAAAGACTCAAACATAAAGCTTCCAAACTATATCCGATGAATATATCGTTTCTAATTTGTTATTAACACATTCAGCAATTTGGACGGGGTTAAAACTTTTAGCGACTTTTTGGAAATTTTTGAGGTTAGCAGAGCAACATATTGATTACCAGAGTTTTTGTGTTACATGGAAATAATCATGTAAAGGTTCAGTTAGTAAACCTCGGGTAATGATAATCTGCTTTTGTTGAAAAAGACCTTTAATTAGTCTGCTTTTAAAATTGCACCATACTATTATTTGAGAGTGAAGCCAACCTTTTTATTGTGGTATGCAGAATTAAAGGAGCCGCGGGTAGATATCCTTTTCGTAAAGAATATGAATTTTCCAGGGATAGTATTACTCATTATTGTTTTCGATTTGATCAACTCTTACCTCTCAAGATGCAAAGCTCTTTGGTCCCTCACTGCTTTTGAGGTAAACGTGCTTTCTTTAGCTATGGTTACAATAGAAACACCTGGTTTGAAGCC